TTCGAATCGGTGGAAAAGTACTCTGAAGGCAAGATCCATAAGAGTGAGCCTGAACCAAGGAACGGCAATGTAAAAATACTGTCTACTTTTATTCATCAGAGTCCTGGTATTCGATAATAAGTTGTTTACCCAAGATCTGGGTCCTTTTGGGTATGTGAATCACACACAGATGGTCTCTTACTAATTAATAACAAGAGTTTTTCTTAAATGTGTTCCAGGTTTCTTCTGATAAATCCGACAGTAAAAGTGAATAAAGTAAAACTTTATTCAGCCGCCGGGTCAGCCTTCGTGATAATGCTATAGTAACATATAACGAATATTAAACTTGATCGAGGTCCTTAAAGAGTTCCACTCCTAAATATCTATTTTGTTAACGGTGTTTATTTATGGTGCATTTCTCCTTTTCGCGGGACCTCCTCCGATTTTTTTCTCTTTGGACTCATTGAGGAACGCCGTCTGATTATTGACTTCAGGAGCCTAGGAAACTAAGGCCCGGTCGTCCACACTACACCGGAGGAATTTAAATACACAACAATCACCGGTCGTTATATATTTTTGTTTGAGGAAATCTCGGCCAGGAAAATCACGCGGTTCTCCTGATCCTATCTTGTTCGAAAACGAAAACTCAAAGCCGGCGTTTTGAAATTCCTCCTGTTTGAAGAGCGTTTTCGAAAAGCTCCGTTTTCGTGACGGATTACTCTGGACCGTAGGCCTAACTGGAGAAATAAAGCTGTATACGTTTTTAAATTCCTCCGGCGTAGTGTGGACGGAGTCTGGGGCAAACCATGACGACGTCAATGAGCACCACCAAACAAAACGTTTAATGAACAAATCAAAGGCTGTACAAGTGTGTTCAGTAAACTTTTGTACGTTTCATAGCAGTCCTCTGCAAAACATCAACGCAAAATGACCGCGAACGCGAACGAGGGAGTTGAACTGCTAATTTTTCGTATTTCCATTCAGAATTGAACGCTGTCATTACATATTTAGCCTGAGCGAGGTTTTAGAGCCATAGGCATCCTAAACAAATTCAATTTTACAAGGCGTTGTCCTCGGCGTCGCCGTCGTCATTGTTAAGATCCCTATATTTGCATTTCGGATGCTGGGAGGTCGATACACTTGTTTAACGTGGGGTCTGTCATCTTAAGTGGCTGCTTTGTGCTTTGCTCATGTTTTATCCCTAGACCAGTCGAAAGAACATGAGAGTATCGTGTAAAGACCGTAAAAAATCACATACATTGCAGCTCTTTGCCAAGGTTTTCTTTAATTCAGCGATTAAGTTGTCGAGCGTTTCGGTAGAGAGTGTTTCCCTCCTGCTGAAACAATCTCGTTTACGTTACTTCGCCGATGCAATACCTTTTCATCTCCCGCCTTGCTACACAGCAATCGTTTACATCTTCTTCAGTGTAGCATAAGGCTTTGAACACTTAAAGGCCATCGTCATCAAGAACGTCCTTGAACATGGCGAGTCGATAATCGGGGTTTTACCGCTCCAAACCAAGTAATTATTACAGTATTTCCCCGGAGTATTTATCTTTCCATAGCTTCCAGTTCTCGAGGATGTCGCTGCTTAATTGACCTCAAATCTAAATGTTGCGGAGACAATGATATCTAGTGGAATAACATTGAAAATTGTGATGCTTTAGGCGGCGAGGCACCGGAAGTTCTTTTCGCTCGTAGGCATTCGTAGCTAGACGGTAGAAGTTGTCGAAGAATTTGTAATATTAGATGGCAGAGAGAACCTTAAACGAACATCATCAATCAAGGCTTAATCTGGCTACTGTAACCCAAGATACACAAGGTGAACGCGTATTTTAATATATAACTGTATGTATAGCATAAATTACAAAGCCGTTACAGAACATAAGCGTGCATATAAAGAATGTTTGGCAGATTAGCATATTATAACCCTAAATTAAGGTATGTCCGCCATTTTCAGTAATCAAATCCCGCCGGTGTCAGAAACTCGTTTGTTCAGTTTGGCTATGACGTCAGTGCTTTCTCATTGGCTCACAGCCGAGCCTTTTGTTCTTTCGCTTTATAAGTGCGACACCACCCGGATGGTTGGGCGGCTAGTTTACTCCACTGCAATATACACATCTCTCTTAATCTCTCTTGAAACAATCCCTCCTGGATATCTAATCAAGTGTTCTTCCTCAACCAACCCCCTAAATATCCCCCAATATCCCCTCACAGCCTGCATTTCATTAATCCCCCACATATACCAACACATCCTACATCTCATTAATCCCCTACATATACGTACACATCCTACTTCTCATTAATCCCCCACATACACCTACACATCCTACATATCATTAATCCCCCACATTTACCTATACATCCTACATCTCATTAATCCCCCACATATACCTACGCAGCATACATCTC